ATCAAATCGATATGATTCTTGAAATCTTATAGTAATATAACAATTGATGCAACACTACTAATCAAATGGATATGATTCTTGAATCAATTACTTGCATGAATAAATAGAGAAGTCGATACACATGTTAAAAAAACAAACTTCACAAAGCCGCATATATAACTGAACATTACAACATTCCGCAATACTAGTAATAAAAATTTGATGAAGCTTACATCAAAAGCTGATGAAACCTTATAGTAATACAACATTGATGCAACACTAATAATCAAATGATATGATTCTTGAAATCTTATAGTAATATAACAGTTGATGCAACACTAATAATCAAATGGATATTATTCTTGAATCAATTACTTGCATGAATAAATAGAGAAGTCGATACACATGTTAAAAAAACAAACTTCACAAAGCCGCATATATAACTGAACATTACAACATTCCACACTCAGAATTCAAGATTGGGAAAAATGCCATGCTAACACTTCCACAGCTGTGTTTTTTTTTGGGGGGGTGGGGGGGTGGTAATCTCATAATCAAAGAGTAAATTTGAAGGCATGGAGGCAATAGGAAAATATATAAGTCAAATGGCAAGCTTCAACCTACAACTAAGTTACAAGTTGCAGGGAACTGTTATAAAACTCAAACCAAGTCTAAGCTTGGATACCAACTATTTTTACTATCTCAAACATACTTCCCCTTTTTGGTATAACTACTAAACTATTACTGTAGATGGATCTCTGATCAAAATCAATTTGAAATTAACAGGGAGGTTAGTTTTCAATTGGATTGGTCAAAATCCAATCCAAATATTCTGTACATATCAGTTACAAGTAACTTTCCAGACTGCACTTAGCTATATGGAAACAGCTACTGCTAACTCAAAATTTAACCCACTAGGCAAAAAATTATGGCACTTTCAACTCAAATTTGAACTATCAATACATTACTGTTCATTGACAAGCCTTCATCAAAAGGCCCTCATTTTGCTTCATGAATACATTAGCAACCTCCCTTTTCTGTAATGCATTACACAAGGTAGTGTAACAGGTAGCTGCTCCTTCGTTAGTCGCCCTCTTTATCTCAAAATGCATTCAGTGACTCCATGATGATTAAGCAAATAAAGTGATACAGAGTGATTTTCAGTAAAATGAGGTTCTTAAGAGTGTTTTTCTTCTTGCTTGGTATAATTTTAAGCCATAAAAATGCTCAAAAGATGTCTGCCTCATTGTTAGAAAGAGATGATCTGGTTACAAATTGATTAATGTGTTAACCGGCACTAAATTACTCAAATAATCAACAAAATTGCAACCACAAAATCAAGCTAAGATCTTAGTCTCCAAATTTTAACCTAGAATTTAGAAATCGGGACTGAAAATTACCAATCTAGGGTTTCTGATCTGATCCTTGAGCACTTGAGAGAAAATCGAAGGTAGCGCTCGTGCTCGAGGGGAGAGGAGATGGATCCCTGAGGAGAGAGGAGATCCAAGATGAAGCTCGAGCTTCAAGCGAGAGGAGATCAAAGGTGGGGCTCGAGCTTGAGGAGAGAGATCAGAGATGAGCTCGAGGGTAGAGATCGGAGATGAGCTCGAGATCGGAGATGAGCTCGAGGGTAGAGATCGGAGGTGATGAGTTTTTTCCGGAGACGAAGGGACCAAGGGCTTCTTCGTTTATGAGAGACGAAGCGTGGTTATTGGGTCGGTGCTATACGAGTATACGGGTTGTTATATGGGTTATACGGGTTGTTAAATAGGTCAGGCGGGTCAACTTAATTTACCCATCTAATAAACGGGTCAGTTCGGGTTGACCCGTTTATGACCCGACCCATATAATTTGACCCGTACCCAATATAAACGGGTCGGGTCGGGTCGGGTTGATGGGTCGGGTCATAAATTGCCACCCCTACTAGCAGTCAGATCTACATTCAATCATTTCAGCACAGTACAAGATGGACCGATAGTAGTAGGTGTGTGGCCTTTCTATCATTATTATTCAGGAGAAATGCCCCTATAGTTTCATCGATCTTGCATTTGAGTGATCCCTATTTTAAAACTAAGCAAATAAATATCTAAAGTATTTAAATGTTGCACGTAAATGACAAAGTTTCAAAATGTTATACTTTAGTGCCCTCTTGTTTCTTCAATGTTGCATATTGATGTCTTCTTGTTTATCCAATGTTGTACATAAATACCCAGAGTTTGTAAATGACCTCACTTAAATACCTTAAATTTTCTAAAACTTGCACTTTAGTACTCTCTATTATGTAATATTCTTGATATTTATAGAAAGGTTAATGTCATCTTGGTTCTTTTAACTTTGGGGCATTTATCTGTAAAAAGTAGGATTCATGTATACCCCAAATATTTAAGATAGATGCAATTTGTTGTTGTTACTGTTGTTAGGCATTTATCTGTAATTTTTATATACTTTGGGGTATTTATTTCCTCAGTTTTAAAATAGAGATCACTTAAGTTCAAGGTTAATAAAATTATAGGGCATTTAAATACTATTTAGCGAGAGAAAAATAGTATATGCTTGAGACGATAAGTGGTGGCAACCATGTGGGTCCTCTAATAGATTAAAATGATACACATGCAATCATGTCAATGTTTGTGCAAACCATGCATAAAAATAACTCTTGTTTAGAGATTACTTTTTCTTGGATCTTTTAGAATGATCGACACACATATACTCTTGATCTTCAAACAATGGCCAGAAGGAGACCACACCAATAAGACGAGAAGTCCTTGCATATCACCCCGTGAATACCGCATAAAGCAGAAACTTGATCAAAGAAGGAGATGAAGGCTTTGTGAAGGTTTATGGTCATTTCTATCTTTTTTTCATCATGAAAACCCTATATCTATATATAAAGGTATCACAGATAAAATTCTGCGCTCATTAGGATTATGAATATGTTAGATCTACATCATAAACTTGAGATCTAAAACCATATAGACATGATTAATTCAAAGAGATCAACAA